ACTATTCATATTATTCAATATTTTATGTTAGTGCCACAATAGGTAATTTTATCCAAAGGGTGAAAGAAAAAACCTTAGAATAAACTTGTCATGCCTGAAAACAAAATTCAAACATAATGTACAAAATATACTTATATAATCCATATAAGAATTTTCCAGTGCTCTGCATTCATCGAAACAGAATGTTTGAGTTTATTAGAAGACACCAAATAATGAAAGACCAGGTAATGACCCTAAGAGAAAGATCTCTTTAAAAAAATTCTTCAGGAACTGATTTGGTTATTACCATAATTGGAAGTCAGTGGGGGAGAAAACAAAACTATATGGAAATAACATTAATTTGAATAATAATTTGAAGCAATCTCAGGGTCCTACCCTGTTAAAAAAAAATATGGAGTTTCATCCGGTGAGTGGAGTAAAATGGCAAAAGGAAGCATTTCATTTCGTAAATAGGTTACAATCCTCATCTATTGGGTAAATGCTAAGTTTGAGAGAGTTAAATTTTAAATAATAAACTGCTTTAAAAAGAAATGTCATTTTCATAGTTTATTGCTTTGCTATCAAAGGAGAAACATAGAAACTTCTTTCTCAGAGGCTGAGATTCCTCTCATCAGGGGAAACAGGGTTTTTTTGTTTCGTTTTATTTTTTGTTTTTTAAAAAGAGGTGATCCAGAGGAATCCTGTTTCCTCAATTACAGAGGGGAGCCTCAGGGAGGAGAGAGCTTTAGAGAGGAGAGGATCAGCAAGGAGAAGGTCAGGGAGAAGGTTGGAAAGAAGAAAGGAGGGATACAGTTAAAGTACAAAGTGAATCACTGTTATAATGGCAGACTAGACTAGTGGCTAAAATTTCTTCTTGAATAAATTGTTAATCCTATTTGCTTTGGTGAGGGTCACTTTCTTGGAAGATGAAAGCCAGTTATGTTGAAATACTTAGATGACGTATCTCTCTATGCATTTGTATATTTCTGTAAGAAACCTTGAGCTTTTTCTCTTCTAATAGGCTCTTCCCTGAAAAAGTAAGGGTAGGAGGCAGAGCACTCTTGCAGGGTGAGCTCATTTCTTGCACTAGGAAGCCAACTTTACACTCGAACTCAGGTGATGGGCCTTTTCTATGGGGGCCCTGAGGAGTCCAGTCATCTAAGACTGCGCTACTTGGAGTTGAGTTATTACAGAACCACCTGCCAAGTGCAGGAGACCAGGGGCTAGAAACAGTGGTGCTCACAGCAGATGACAAGCTACAGATGTGGAGGCTGCCCTCTGAGTCAGACTATCAGGCAGCATGGGCTGTCTTCTCTGTTGATTCCCCTTCTCTTTGAATGGAGCCCTTACACAGGCTTATTTGGACGCTTCAGTTGTCTCTCATCTGCTGCAGAACAGAAAGGATGAGGTGGTTCTTCCACCCTGGAGCCAGAGTATTCAAAGAGAAGCATCTTTTCATGGAGGCCACCATGGGACTATCTCTTCCCATTAGTAAAGGGCTTTTTAATTCTGGCTTGTATGTTTTCTAGTACATGCATGAATCCACCTAAATTTCTGCCTTTATTCTTAACTTGGTAGAAAACTTTTAATAGAAACACATCTGCTTGAATAATTCATAAGGGCAGTGGTGTATGAATATAACAATATTATTCAATTTAATTCCAGCTGTGTTCAAATGATCATAAAATCTAGAATTTTTGTACTTAAGGACTCTAAGTAGCAACATTGATAATTCTTACCTGTTCTTATAAAGCAAAGCACTTAAACAATGTGGCAATATATTACCTGAGCTTATAAATCAAGGGGTCACCAAACTTTGGAGAGAACCATCTGGTAGAGGTTTTGGGCTTTGTGATTCATATGATCTCTGTAACAACTATTTAACTTTGCCTTTGGAGTAGGGTGGCAGACAGATACTATATTAAAACAAATGCATGTGGCTTTGCTCCAATAAAACATTACTTATAAGCATGGATGGAAATACAAACTTAGCCACAGACCTTGGTTTGCTGGCTTTTGCTCTGAATAATTTTGTGAAGTAGGTAGCAAGGGTATTCTTATCCATCTTGAAGATAAAGAAGCCAAAATTTGGGCCATTAAACACAAGCCATTGGTCAGCCCCCAGGAAACAAAATGGATAAAACATGGTTTCTCTCCCAAGGACTTGTGCAGTACTACAGTTAATAACCCTTCCTAAACATGTGAGTTTGCACAGTCACTCAGCACTCAGCCTCAGTTTCCTCATCTGAAAAATGGGGAAAGTACCAGTTATATCAACAAAGTTTGTTGTGACAACTAAGTAAAAATGCTATAATATTAAGCTGAGGATATATCTCAGTTGGTGGAGTGCCTGCCTTGCATACACAAGGCCCTAGGTTCAATCCCAATCCCCAGCATTCCCCCCCAAAATGCTGTATATTTGGTCCATACCAAACACTCAATGAATGTTTTATTTTCACTGCATAAAGATCCCACTCCTATGTTTGCTTAGAGAGCTAGAAAAGGTCTCCAAATTCTGGGAATGAGGATTTCAAAAACAAGCTGGCTTCTGCTGTGAGAATAATGGGTAGCAGAGGGAGCAGCATGAATAAGTTCATTGGCATATGGGATGGCACGTCCTATTCTAGGTCATGGTGACTGACAGAGCATGGCAGAAATGCACTGTCTGTAGTGGAGATGCATAAGATGTCGCTAAGGAAAATATAGTGGAAAGGGGCCAAATGCCAGGCTAAGGTTACATGGGCTTTCTACTATAAGACACGGGAAACCTGAAGGGTTCGATGTAGGTAATTATATGACTAGATCTGTATTTTAGAAAAATCCTTCCAGCAGTATTTTAGAAGATGGAAGGGAAGAATATAATGGTTAGTGACATAATTAAAAGGCTACAACACCCCACGTTGGAGATGATGGCTAGAATAAGACAGCGGGAATAGAAAACATTTGAGAGATATTTGGGGATGCTCTATGGAAAAGACTGGGGTATTTTTGTAGATGCAGAATATATCCCAATTAGCCTGCAAGTCATTGAAAGGCAGAAAAGAAGCCTTTCCTCAAAGTGCCTAACTCAGTGCTGGACATCACTGCTTTGTCATTTATTAAATATGTGAATTAGAATCTGGACTAAGACACTTATAGTTTTCTCATCCCCAAAATAAAGATAACAATCATTCTACTGCTTACCTAGCTGTAACAGCCAAAATAACACATACATAATAAAATTACAACCATTGATAAAAGTCATGTCATAAAAATTCTTGACATGAACTAGAATACCTCAAATATTCACCTTTATTTGTTAAAAACCTACTAGATGTGAGCCCACATGCAATAGATCAGCTAAAGATGCTGCATAGCAGGCACCTACACCAGAATTTATTAATTCTGAGGCTGTCTTAGCCTTTTTAATGTATTGTTCAGGCACTTGTGACCAGTCTGCTAATTATACCACCTCTTCTTTTTACTTTAATTCACCTGTTAATTCCCACTGTTAGATCCTTTCTTTGAACTTGACTACCTGAATCAGAAAATGGTCAGGGAAAAGAAGGCAATGAAATAAGATGGAATTCATCCAGTGAGTTAGCTAAAATTAAGCAGCAAAAAAAAAAAAAAAAGGAAGAAGAAAAACCATTGCCAAGAATGAGACTTCTTCAATTTTTAATGATTCACATTAGATACTGCACTAATTAGTAAAGATAAATGTATCATTTGCTTAAGTACTTATATACACAAAAACATACACTCCTTCACACAAAACACAACAGAATACATTTTTAAAATTATGTCTTCTATTGACATTTTTCAGTAAAGCAAAATTAAGGCAGCTAAACAATGCTTCATTCCAATTTTGTTACTATATTTTATAATTCTAGGAAGAGGCAAAGAAGCACCCTAATTCTTAAAATCATCTATTTTCAGAAGTGAATATACCAAACATTTCAGATAACTAGTTCTAAAGGTTGGTATGAAACCTATCCTTTGGTCTTAATTTCTTTAACTAAGAATTCATTTTTGTTAATGGTTCTGGGGATTTAACCCAGGAGCATTCTACATGACCTTACCAAGTTGCCCAGGCTGCCCTCTAACTTGTGAACCTCCTGCCTTATTCTCCCAGGGAAAAAATATGTGTGTGTGTGTATGTATGTGTGTGTGTGTGTGTGTATA